CACATCAGATCACTCACATAATGCAGTTTTGCTGTCGCTAAAATAAACCCGAGCAGCATCAGATCTGGTCCAGGATCACACATATAGTCTTAGATAAACACCCAGCAGCTGCTCAGAGCACACTAGAAACCACCAAGCAATGTCGAAGAAACCACCTAGCAGCACCCCTTAGCATTAGCAGATGTCTCCAGAACACTGGTCCTCCACTGACTCAGGCTGAGGACGGCACAGCTGACCGTCTGCTCTTCTTCTCTGGTTTCTCTCTGTGTGATCACGTTCTGCTCAGTCAGTCACTGAAGTCGATCGATACGCTCCCTCACTCTCAAACAGAACACACACACACACACACACACACACACACACACACACACACACACACACACACACACACACACACACACACACACACACACACACACACACACACACACACAAGGTCAGCTCAGTGACAGACAGGGATATCAGAGTAAAGTCACCCTGACGCAGTGTCTGGATCAGCTGAGGGAACAGGACACTTCAGGCCTCACATGCTTTGATTCATTCTTTTATTCATAAAATCTCGTCTGCTCATCTGTTATTGCTCTCTATAATGGAAGCCTTTAATGCGTTGACGAACTCTAGAAATGTTTAAGCTCATGATTAATAACAAAAACAACAGTTATTAAATGTGTTATTGCGTATTAAAGGTTACTGAAATAAGCAGGGCAATAGATTGATTTAAAAGATAGAGATTAACATCCCTGGACAGCCCTCTCCAGCCTCATCATATTTCTTCTGCTCCACAAAAATCACAGCTTCTGGACTCAGAGAAGCCCTAGCTGACAACAGGCACCCATGCTCCACACCAATACACTCAAGATGATCTCCTCCATCCACACAGACTCTCATCATCTTTTATCAACACCGCCAACAAAAAATCACCAAAAAACAATCTGCTCCATATCCTCAATAACTCTCTCTTCCCCCTCTCATCAACCAGCCCCTCCCCTTCACAAGCCCACTCCTTTTCCCTGGCCTCCAGCCCCTGCATCTAGCACCAGCCTGCCCCCTCCAGCAACCCAAACCAAAACAACTCTGCCTCCCAAAGACCCACCCATACAGCAAGCAATGCTCCCCGAGCCCCAGTGCACACTACCCCTCTCCCTTTCCCCTTTCACCCACGCCCCCAACCCAAGAAACCAGCTTCTCCAAGTCTATAGCCCTCCTTCCAACATCCCCTCTCTCTTTCCCTCTTCCTCTTATCCTCCAGCATTCACTTCTGGGCCTTTTGTAAACACAAACCCGCCCCCGGCAATCCATCCTCCCAGCACCCTTTCCCCTCTCTCAACTGATGTTCCTGTGAATCTCTCTCTGTACATATTATGAGAAACTTCCATTACCCTCATCTTACAGACAGTTTACCTCTAGAACCATCCAAACACATCTCAGCACCTGAAAAACCTTTAAGTATTTCCACACTCTCTATAACACACCTTATCTGTCCTTTCAATCACCTCATTTATTTAACATCTTCATGTCACAAAGAATCTCCAAGCCAGTTCTATTAGAAGCTATCTAAGTGGAATCCATTTTCTTCCACAAATTGATTAATGGATCTCGATCTAATCAAATAGCCAATTCACAAGCAAACCTTTTCATTAAAGGAATCCAAAAAGCCCATCCTTCCCTCCTAGACACCAGACAGCACATCACCCGTACATTTTTCACAAGAGGTACTGTAAATCCACCCTCCACAGAGGTCACCACTCCATCCATACAGCCTGCACCCCTGATGCCATGTTC